AAGCTATCACAACCTTCCAGTCCACGAGAAAGCAGTGTGTGTGTACGTGCGTGTATGCGCTTCAGGTCATTTAATCATGGTAACTAACAAAGTGCCTTATAAGGTCTATAGCGCCACCAAATTAAACTCAAAAAGACTTTCCGTTTTAAAAAAATATGAAAAATCTAACAGACAGTTTCATCAGTTGCTGTGAAAGCTGCCTGTGTGATCAGCAGTGAAAGCAATACAGGTTACAAGATTGGTTTTTCAAACCATTATTTTTTTTAAAAAGGTGGGGGGGGACCAACCTAAGGAGATTACACCGGGCATTTGAAAGATGGAGGAATAAATGGTATTAATAGAAGAGAATATATGTAGCTCAGAGTTGAACTGTGAAGTCCTTGGTGCTCTTTGAGATTAGTTGTTTTCTTGCAAACATTTCAAATAACCGAGCTCAGAGAACAGGAACACAACCACCCCATAGGGATAAAAAGTATTATATGCTTATTTTCTTATATACATTTGGAAGGGGCAGATTTCCAGTGACAAATCTTAGAGAAAGGAGAAAAACTTTGTTGGGCATAGAAAAATTCTTAGAAGTCACTAAGATGCAGTAAATCAAGCTGTCAGAAAATTCCAGATTATTATCAGAGGAAGACCTGGAATTTGGGGCTGCAAGCATACACACAACTAGTTTTAAAGTTTTACACAAAATGGTTGCCATAGCCCTGAAGCACATCCCTAATTCCATATTCACATAGCCTGCATGCTTCTTCTCTGCTTAGGTTAGCAGCCCATGATTTACAGTTTGTGTAAATTTCGTTGTTTTCCAAGCTGGAAAAAAAATCCTGTTAATTCAGTACAAGGTTTATGCCTTGTTTTGTGTTTCTTAGAACTGTTTTGTTGGTGTTCCTAAATGACAGATTGTGATTTGTGTGTGTGATATTGCCACACCTTTCAGTTGGGCCCTTCTTTGAACACCTTAGTTCTTTTGCCGAGATGTGCTGTTTAATTCTCTGGGGTTGAGATGACACTGGAAATCCTTAATTTAGGAGGTAGCATTTCAATCCAATGCAATGAAAACTCCTGTCTTTCTTCTCTTGTTTTTTTGTGCCTTTGAGTCAGTTTTTGGCTCAGTCCTACATTTTTCTTGGCAAGGTCTTTCAGAAGATGTTTGCCCTTCCCTACTTTCTAGGGCTCAGAGAGAGGGCCTGGCTAAAGGTTACCCAGTTGGCTTTATACCTAAAATGGGATTGGATCTGCCTCCCAGTTTGTAGCCTGATGCCTTAACCACACCACCACACTGGCTCACTTCTACTCCTTTCTAGCAAGTGGCTATTTGCCAAACAAACTTCTTAATTTTGCTAATGACACCTGGCCATATGATAGAATTATAGTCAACATACGGTTTTAGATGTTGTTGCTTATAAGCATTCTAGGAATGCACTGTTTCCTATATGGATGTTTTCACCCAAATTATACCTTTCTACATAGTAGTTGTTTAAGCTTATTTTACACCTATGGTTTTCTATGAGACCCCATATTTATTAGGAGGGGGAGATTAAGATAGCAAGAAAACAGACTTGTGTTTCATCGTGTCTATTGTGCTGTTTATTCATTTAATGAGGGTGGGGTTTTTTTGTACAAGTGGGAAAACTTACTTCCCACCTTCAGTTTGGAGTATGTAACCTCCTCTTCTGCATCTTAGATTCAGCCTAGGTCACTTCAAAATGATGGAAAGGGACTGACAGCCTTTCCAAAGATGACCCTGAATGGAAAGCAAGCTGGAAAAATTCTGGACCATTTTCCTTTAGACTGCAGCAGGAGGAGCATTTTTTGAACCACTTGCACACTGGCAACCAACTGATTCCAGGCGTAGCTCAAAATCTTTAAATTCTCCTACTCCCCAGCTACAAATGGTCGGGGACCAAAGGGGATAAAGCGTTGCCTTTTCCCATACAATCCAGTTTGCCACATCAGAATGGGTGGTTTTGCTCTAAATGCTTTTATTTTTTTAAAAGGTGGTGAATGGCAAGGAGGGTCTGGCTTTCTCAGTAGTGTTTTTGTGGCACGAGGTGAAAAGGAAGTGCAAATTAACATTTAGTCAATAGACAGAAAAATAAAACATTATTTTTACTTTTTTGCCATTGTTATAATTACTTTTAGCTTATTCCTCTGTTTTTCTGATGCCTAATGTTATGATACACTAGTTGCCTTGAATTCTTATAGTGCTTTCACTTCTCTTAACCTAACCAATTAAGAAAAAAGATTTAACATAGTCCTTTTCCGTGGTACATTTATTTAGTACATAAAGTTGGTGGGTTTTTTTTAAATTATTCCAGACATTCTTATATTTATTATTCCAGTGGTTCTAAATACATTGATTTGCACAACGATAACCTATTAGCAAAGAGGCTGTCCGGTTAGAAAGCCTCTCAAATCCCCAGATAATAACTTTTTATTGATCATCCTTCCGCGTCTCGTCCAACCTTTCAAAAATCTGCAAAACAGATTTTTCCCACATCTTGCCACCCCACCCCCCAAACTCCCTTGGTGTTTTTTATTTAATCTGGGGAAAAACTGAATAGAACTTTCTGGATGTCTCTCCCTATAACCCTGGTATCTCCTCCGTCCAACCATCGATTTTTTTAAGGCTACTCAGTTATTGACTCTGGAAATGGCATCACGGCAAGGTCAGGAAAATTGCTGCAGCTGTTGGGATACCATGAGGAACTTCATGATTGGTCGGATCAAGAAACAGGGCAGGAATTTAATGAAAGCTCTTTATTGGAGTCAAGGTAGGGTGACAGAAAGTATGCCCAAGTTTCTCTTTGTTTCTTTGTCTTATACTATACAAATTCAAATATATGTGTGTGTGTGTGTATGTGAATCTATTTTGAGTTTCTTTCTTGCACTTCCCTTTCTCAAGACTCTGCAATCTTTTCTTCAGGCCCCTCCTTAATGGCACTCATTCCTTCCCTATTCCTAAGTTCAGTTTTACACCAAAACTCATACAGGAATACCCAAAGCAGGTTTTCCCATTATTATTACTCCAATTCCCAGAGATCTAATGCTAATGCCACAGGCAAGCCAGAACAGAAAACGGAGGCCCCAGGGAGACTCCACTATAATACAATAACCACTCTTGTGGTAAATTTTTTCACTGTCAAAAAAAATCATCCCAAACCCAAACCCAAGACATGTACCGTATTTGCCGGCGTATAAGACGACCCGGCGTATAAGACGACCCCCCACCACCACCAGAAACGCCCTCCAGAAATCCCCGGGGCTGCAGCGGCAGGGCGGAGTGCCAGGGGCCGTGGGAAGAGCAGGAAGGCTGCAGCCTCGGGCAGAGCGAGGCGAGCGGGATGAAGCGGAAGCGACGCAGGGGATCCAGGAAGCCAGAGGCGCCTTCGCTGCGTCCAACAAGCATCCGAAAGCCGGCAGTGGATATACCGGCGTATAAGACGACCCCCCCACTTGGAGGCATGTTTTTCGGGGCAAAAAAGTCGTCTTATACGCCAGCAAATACGGTATTACAAAAAGCCAGCACAGGTTTTCATGAAACGTGCCTACTGCAATTTTAGAATGAACCATAGGTGAAATGTTTTTTTTAAAAAAAAAGCTTCCTCCATAGTGGAGAAAACTACGAACAGTTAATGGGTATGCTACTCAGTCTGTTCTTGATATGTCAGTTGAAGGTCCCTACTGTCTCCTCTCAGAGTTCTTTAGAGCTTTCAACCAGATATGGTTTCACAATAAAGAGCTGTGACATGTAAAGTACGAAAGAAGGCCACTTGTATGTTTGACTGCTTTTGACACAAGAGAATCCCAAGAAGGCTGTGTATCCTCTGATCTAATTACATAAAATCTTTTGCAACTTTTTAGCTAAGAACATTGGCAAGCTGAAACTGCCCGACCTCTGAGTTATCCAAAAAGTGGCAAAAATGACTTTGTACAATGCAGTGGTCCTACCGATCTTAAAGGAGGCAAGGACCCACCTGTTATCATGAAGGCAAAGGCTGTTTGCCAACTACCACCCAGCTAGAGAGTTTTCTTTGGGAAGCAAGATAAGTGACGTTATGTCTGCTGCTGAAGCAGGGGTACATGTTTTTAGATGGCTCAGATTATCATCCTAAACTAATATCTTATTCTGATTTCAGAAGGACGTTGGAAATTTTTCCTCTGAAATTCTAATGTCAGCCTCTTTGTCACTTGAAATCCACTTTGTGTTTTTGTTTTTTTTTAAATAAGGAAGACTATCTCTGGAAATAGATTGTGTAGGGGCAATCTACCCAACTAGCCAATATAGAAAAGATACTGGCCCCGGTCAATTCTTGGATAGAAGACTATCAAGGAGTACTTAAGGCTATAGGAGAGACTGAGAAATTGGAAAACTTCTCAAAAAAAAAAGACAGTGTTAAACCCACCGTCCATGAAGTCAAGAGGAAACAAAAGAACATTTTACCTTTTATTGTCTTTATATTTGACATGGGGCTCCCCTACAGCCATTTGATTGCACAGTCAGAAGCTAGTTTGGACCAGATTAGATTGCCCACTGCTGGATTTCATGTTATGTCTTAATGCAAGTGAATGTTCTAAGATTATGTATGGACCTTCTGATACAAAGTGTGGATGTAAAGCTCAACCAAAAGCAGCAAGTCCATAAAAGGAAATACAACAGTGTTTTTCAACCTCAGCAACTTTTAAGATATGTAGACTTCAACTCCATGCTGGCTATGGGATTCTCCTCTTAAAGCCGCCAAGGATGAGAAACACTCTCTAAAACATGATGTATCTGTTAAGAGTGGATTTCACCTAGATCAGAAGCCTCCAAATTTGGCAACTTTAAAACTTGTGGACTTGAACTCCCAGAATTCCTCAGGCAGCATAGCTGGCTGAGGAATTCTGAGAGTTGGAGTCCACAAGTCTTAAAGTTGCCAAGTTTGGGGACTCCTGACCTAGATACATAAGGATGAAAGGGCAGCATCATTTGGGGGCTGCTAGAGCAACACTGGCGACTTGCCCATCCCAAACGGTGTGTAGCTTCCAAATGGTCTCAGAGGATGCCACTGAAAGTCAGACTCAATCAGGGATGCATCCAAGTCCCAGGAATTCAAGGAAGTGAGAAGCAGAGGTTTTAATATTATTACTTAGCATGACAAAATGCCTGTGAATAGCACCATGGAGCCTGATTATTAGATCACCTGCGCAATATATAGGAGCAGGCCTCCTCGTGAAAAGGGCTGTGATCGGAGTCATTTTTACAGCAACATTCTAATAAGTGGACCGATGTTCTGGACTGTCCATCAGCATCAGGCACTTCCTGGTCAAGAAGGCAGGCCTCCCTCAAGTTTCTCTCTTGATGCTTTTCATTCTGAAGTGGAAGAAGCAAGGGCCGAATCACAGTGTTTTGCCCGTACAAGACCTGCAGCAAGCCTTTCTATAATACCAGTGTGAACAGAGCTTTACTTTCAGGACCAACACACAGTTAGCTGTTGCTTTGTCATCACAGTCTTCATCTATAGAGGGGAAAACATAGGTTAGATAGAGGGTGAGTCACCTGAATCCTCTTGAGATTGGGCTACCTACCTCACCCAGAATATTTGTATTTCAAAAACACTGCTGGCTTCAGATGATTGGGTGCATGCAACTTTTCTTATGCCTGCAGTTCCATACTCTTTCATCTTCTCTCTTTCTCCACGTCCTCCTTTTATCTTCCTCCTGTGAGAGTTAGCCTCTTCTTTAAGCCTCTTGGCATGGTGGTCTTTGCTATCTCTTTCTATGTGCCTGCCAGTCCTTCTGGATCCAGACATTGGCAGCTCCAATGTCTTCTGCTTGGCCACCATATATCTATTATTCACAAAACTGGGTTCCCCCCATCTCACTAAGTTTCAAACCAATAACCAGATATGCCTTAACATCCCAAGTGATCCTAACACTGATTGCTTGGGTTTATGGCCCTGTCCACCTCTTCACAACCGAGCGCTAGATTGGCTCAAGAGCTGCCAGACTCTCTGCTTCCTTAAGCTAGAGCCCCTGGCATGTTGCTTTTTTACCTGGAGCATCAGTGGGACACGGCTGCAGTTGGCAAGCTTGCCTGGCTTCAGGTTTGGATGTTGACTCACAGCCTTGGCCTAAGGTTTCTCCTTGGTAGCACTTCACTTCACGGAAACGCAGGCCAGTACCACAGGTCTTGCTGCACTGCAAGGGATGGGAGAAAAAAAAGTGTTCTCCTACGGCACAAAGTATGGATGTATAGCTCAACCAAAAGGAGATGGCCATGAAAAGAAATCCCACAGGGCTGCTTCATAATTAACCTCAAGAACTGGGTCACTTTGGGCAAGCATGGATACCCAAGTTAAACTAGAAAATGGTAGCAATGCTTCATTTGCCAGTGTGATTTCTTTCTTTTAAATTTTAATTTTAATAATAATTTATTAATTGTGTATGCCACCCAACACTCAATGGCTTTGGGTGGCTCACAACAAAGAAAGACGTTACATTAAAATCAATAAAGAAAAAAAATAAAGACAAAAGATTGAAAGTGCAACGAAATGAAATGAAGCCAGAGGAATTAAATTCATTTACTACTCTAATACTGGGACCACATTTAAACATCTCTAGATTGAGCAAGGTCAGGAATGTTTGCACAGCTACTTTTGTCTGATCGCTGCATTTCCAAGTAGCAGCAGTAGCAAGTTATAGGTTTGTCCAATTATGTTTCATCTTTCCCGATCCAGCAAGGGTTAACTTCTGTCTTGGTTACCACTTTAGATGATTGCATTGGGCTCTGGATACAGATGCCCTTCAGTTCATTTAATCAGAGCACAATACAATTTGCCAGGCGCAAATGAAAGGGCCGCCTTGTGCCTCACAACCCAATGAGAGGGCGTGCCCCCTTTTACAGTTGCAGTCGAGCCCCCGGTGCTTTTACAAAAGCATAAAGCAAACATTGTTGAATCTTGGGAGTTCTATAAATGTTTATTGTATTTTGTTGTGGGTTTTTTTTTTTTTTGAAAAAAAGTTCTATGATCATCTTTTTGAATGTTGCGCACTGCCATGGTGGTTTTCAGAAAGGTGGTATCTACAAACTCAAAATAAACAGGGCTTTGGAAAGCAATGCTGGGAATCTCAATGGATGAAACAGAGACAACTCCCCCCCCTCCCCTTATTTTCTCCTATTAAAGAGAAAGGTCAGGCAAGGTTGATTCTTGAGTAGGAGGTCAAATCCAAGTTCTAGGTTCATCTAGCGTTGAGCAAAAGAGCTCAAAGGAAGGCAATGATGGCCAGCTCCTTCCGCCAATGGCAACCCAGCTCTTGCCAAGAGAGCCACATGGGGCCCGTGTCATTACCAGGGATTGGACTCAGTTGGACCAAGTCTTTCCTTCTCATGATACAAACACACCTTCCACGTATCCTGGATTCATATGCCTTTTTTAAATACGGGGAAAACTATTTGTTCATTTTTTGTACAGGTACCAATAATACAATCTCTAAAGCATCCCCCAGATTTTTGTTTTTGTTTCTTTGTTTTTGGCTGCAATACTTAAGACATACAAGATTGTTTTTACAGAAAAGCCAAGGGGAATCTTCCCTGCCCTTTCCCTCCAATCCTGTTCCAACCTCCAGCAGCTCTCTCTCCCCGTCTCCAGGTTGCCGTAGCTTCTCCATCTACCTGAGACCATGAGGTTGAAAACCACGTGGAACAGGGTCTCTGGAAACACGGGGCTTGTGTTTCTGGCTTTCGAAAAGCCTCGCAGTGCCTCTCAGGATACTCCTTGTACAGGCCATTTTCTAATCCCACACACAGCACTGTCCGCATCTTGACACCTCGTCCACAGGTCGCATTGCACTGCAACGGAGAAAGCAAGACACCGTTTTCCATCTGCGTTAAAAAGGCAAAAGCCTCCGCATGACCCATCCATAGTGGGCTCATTCTTTTCGTTTGGAAGGCTGCCAGTAATGAATACAGTCGAGTGGGTTTGGGCTCAACAATGCAAGAGTTTTGCTGAAGAGAGTTAATGTTTTAAATAGATAAATGGCAACCATAACCTTAATACAGGCAGTCCTTGACTTACGACCACAACTGAATTCATGTTGCTATGTGAGAAATTTGTTCAGTGAGTTTTGCCCATTTTATGACTTTTCTTGCCGCGTTCGCTAAGTGAATCGATGCAGGTGTTAAATTAGGAACACGGCTGTTAAATGAATTTGGCTTCCCCATTGACTTTTGCCTGTTGGAAGGTCGCAAAAGACGGGACGCCGTAACCGTCATAAATATGAGTCAGTTACCAAGCATCCAAATGTAAATCCTGTGACCTTGGGGATGCTGCAATGGTCATAAGTGTGAAAAATGGTCGTGATCACTTTTTTCAGTGCTGTTGTAACTTTGAATGGCCACTACATAAATTGTTGTAAGTCGAGGACTACCTGTATAGTCCAAATTCCAACACCGTTAGACCAAGAGTTATATTTACTATACATCTGGGCGCGGCTAACCACTGACCAGGATGGCATGCTGAGATTTCCTCTCTTCCCCTGATCCAGCTATTTTCTTAAATGTAGCCACATTCCCTTATTTTATCAGATAGAGAGATAAGGAAATCAAAGTGTTCCATCTGCTCAACGGAAAGGGGTTTAAAGCTTCCATGGAAGACCTGAAGGTGGTTGAGATGGTTCTCTGCCACGAAGAAGCAATGGGAGAAAACACTACATGGTCAAGGACGGATGTCTAATATGGACATCACTGGACGGTTAATAAAACAACTTAAAAGAAGAATTGAAGCCGGAATGGGACTAAGACACTGTAGGAATATCTAAAGTCTTGGCAGATATGTCAGAGCAAATAAATAAATAATTTAAGAACATGCAAATAGCAGATATTGCTCTGAAAGGTAGCAATGTTTATTTATTTTATTTATTTATTTTGTCAAGCGCTTACAATATAATAGAAATAAGAATAAACATAAGTTTAAATACATGAAATAGGAACAAATAATTGGGGACAACAGGACAGGGACGGTAGGCACGGTAGGACGGTAGCCATTATGATAAGGCTACAAATAATACTCTTTGAGATCGACAAGGCTACAAAGGGTATTTCTGAAATAAAGATTGAGTTGGCAGATTTACGGGATCGTGACAAGAGAAGTAATTGAAGGATTAAAGGAATGGTGGAGAAAAGCGGAACAAACAAATTTGACTACTTATTTCATCTCTAAAATTAATTACCAGAGCTCTAATATGAACTTAATGGTTAAAGATATTGAATGTGCTCATCAGGTTTACTCTCCAAGGAACACACAGAAGAAAATCTAGAGACATTTTTTGGGTGAACCCAAATTTAAACGATAAAATTATGAGAAAAATATGTGGACGGGGGAATATTCTTTTTCCAAAATATCAGTTTAGCTACACTGCTGCAAGGGAAGGAATTAAAACCTATTAGATAGAGAAAAGCCTATGCAGAATGAGGTTCAATACAAATGGGACTCTCCTCTCAAATGGATTGTTTTTATATTACAAGGATAGAAAGTTATTTCAATTTCAGTTGAGATGCAGAGTTTATTGACAAAGCTTTCCAAGAAGAGAGGATGAAAGCTTTCTATGGTTTGTCCTTGGAACCGTGGAAAGTAGGTTGAACTACAAGTGGAAGACTAAATAAGAACACTGCATTCAGTTATGAAGCAGTAGAAATTATATAGACTGTTTTCCTTTTTTAAAATGTTCAGGTTTAGAGTAAAGGGAAAAAAGAAGAGAGTTAAATAAATAAGAGAAAACAACTATATCAAATACTAACACTGGCAAAACTATACTTAAGGAATTATTGTAATTAAAATTGGGACCTTATAGACCAGGGGTCTCCAACCTTGGCCACTTTAAGCCTGGAGGACTTCAACTCCCAGAATTCCCCAGCCAGCTTTGCTGGCTGGGGAATT